GGTTATTTCAAGACCTTAATTCTCAAGAATTGAGCATTGAAAAGGCTAAATAACTATCCTTAAGTCCTGAGCCTTTGAGAAAGGAGATTTGATTTTGGGATGGGGATCTTCCCATTTTTATGCTGAATATTTATACCATTTCTTGTCTATAGAATACGTTTTTTTGGTTATTCCAATTAGGTTGTAAACAAAGCTAGAGATAGCTCTGGATCACTTTGCGGATTATTTTCCACTTTATTTACACAATTTTTATAGAACATATTCTTATGTTTTCGATACTTTAAAAAAGATAAAGTGAACATAACATTTTTTTCTTTAAACAGGTAATAAAAACTTTAGATCCCAAATTAAATCCAGCATCAGCTGAAATAATGCTACTTAGAAAGCAGTTGGCAGAGAAAGAGAGAAGAATTGAGATTCTGGAGGTAAAACATCCATATTCACTCATCTCCCCTTAATTATTCTGTAGAATCCTGGTAATTAGCTGCTGTCATATATTTGCCATTAATGATCAAATTTCACAAGTAGTTAAAAATGTCATGTTCGAGCACTCGGTGTGTTTATTATGAAGCATCTCACTAGCTCACTGGACTGTTTTCTGCACAGTTTATGCTGCATTGTCTCTCCCTCTGTGACAGCCAGTCGTGTGGATATCCCTGACTTTCTAATAGAGTCCTGCTGTAATGCTGCTTTAAAAATTATGTGAATGTGGTTTCATTCAGAAAAAAGAAAAAAACTGAGCTTTACCTTTTAAAAAAGGCAGTGTGTTCACTCAGTTAACCACATTTTTCTTACCTTCTCCCAGTTCTTCACCTGTACCTCAACAAACGTAGTAGGAATCTCTGGGAGAAGGAAGTACTCACTGAATCCCAGTGAGACCCTAAATTAAATTTGTTAATCATGCAAAGTTATATTAGTAACATCATGCTTTCATTAGTTAGCTGAGTCTTTGCATTTTAAAGGTATTTTTGTGCTAATGGTTATATCATTCTTAAGAGCTTGGTAAGTATGTCAGTATGAAATTGTATATTCTTAGATTTTATAATTGGGCATGTTCTAGTTTCCTTTGCAAAGTGTTTTACAAAACTACTATTTTTAATGCCATGGTGAGATTTGATGCTATTCTTAAAGTCGATATATACTTCCTCTTAATAACTTGTGCATAATTGCAGAGCCATGTTGAGTTCTGTATACTGGCCTTGAAATTCTCATAAATGGTAGTTGGTTTCTTTTTAAATCGACTAGGAGTGTTATATAATATCTCAAAGACACACATTCTATTCATATGCCTTTTTCTTGGTATTATTTCTGAGCAAGTAGATATGAACTGTGGT